CCCCCCCCGCCCCCCCGAGATACCCAGCAACAAAACTCGAGGATTCCATTGTAACGAATGCAGTTCCTTCAGCTGTAATGCGCATTCGCAAATACCGTGCATATTGTTTCGCTGCCCATTAGAACCGAAAGGCGCGCGACAGGTCCGCGATTAAAGTAAAAGGGCTGAAAACACGAGACAATCGCGATTCGAGGACGAATCAGTCGTGCCCAGTTGCTTCCAGCCCACCCCCGTTCGCACGAAATTTCAAAATCGAGCTAGAGAGAATCGAAAAGGATTTTGCACCAATTCACACAGCGTCTGTAAATGTGATTTTTTTAATGGTGTTTATAACTCGGCTGTTTATTATTATTCGTGAATCATTAGGATTATTCGTCATGAGGATTATCCATGATTGTTAGTAACGATGCATCCGTGCGTCCGATTCGTTAATCGTCGAGGTTCGTGATGCCGTGCGCGTCCAGCACCGCGTCCAGCACCGCGTCCAGCCACCGGATATCCCATTTTGGCTTAGTTGCTCAAAGTTTTGAAGAAACAGTTGACAGTGCCGATCGAATTGGACGCACGGAAGGGATTGCCAGTAGATTGCGTCGGAGAACGTAAGAGCTGATCACGACCAGCGGTTCCCTGATTGGCCCGGACTTATCCGCCACCAGACTTATCCATCCTTAATGTACACACGTACGCGGTCTGTCGACCGGTGAACCAGGTTTTCACGGGCGATAGGGGAAAAGAAAACAAAAAGAAAGTATGGGATCGCCGCGATCACGCGGCTCGCTTCCTCCGCTCTTCCGAAATAACGATTACGATAATTTGTTTGGCCAAGCGGCCAAACCGTCTCGCCGGCAAGTTACCGAGCTCGGGACCCGAAAGTTTCCTTTTGCAAATGGCAGACGAAAAATTAAGGTTTTCTACGGGGCAGCAATAGCTTCTTCCCATTGCACACTTTTTTCTTGCGGTTTCTTAAACCTTTATTATTCAATGAACAGTTGGTATATACATTAAAGACATTTCTTTGTTCCGTAATGCGTTTCAGCGGTCTTTGTTGTTGTTGTTACCTCTTTTGTTTTGAACGCGTAACGGGTCTTCTGTACTTAATAAATCCGTCGTCTTTTTTTCTTCATTCGAACGTACTCGCATCTCCGACTCTATTCTTTTTACATTATCCGCCCGATTCCAAGGTTACGAATACGCAAGCCGGTTTTACTACTTTGTCCCATATGGATTTCCATGCTGTTCCAGAATCATAATGATCCTTGTCCGTTCGGTTACCCAGTTCCCTTTTGATCCGCATATAGCAGCTACACGACTGTGTCCACGTGTGTGCTTGCGTCCTGCAGAAGGATTTTGAAAATTTGCCAATTCCCTAATCGACCCTGACTAGTCGATTCGCATCAAGACTCACACACCCACGCATGCACGCATGCACGCATGCACGAATGCGCCTGCGTGATTAACATTTATTTTGCCGATTATTAATGTACTTTTATGTCATTGTGTCGTACAAACTTAACGAGCTTTGTCAAGCTTTTTGTTTGAAGTGTTTGCTGCTTACTCGAAGTGAAATGTGAAAGAAAAAAGACAAAAAAAACAGAAGGAAAAACAAGTGCAACACAGCTTTCCGCCATTTCGAGATCTACCGATGGAAAGATTGCCGAATCTTCGGGAAAGGAGCTGCGCAGTTCAAGTAGTGAAATTCTTGTTTCGCCGAAGCAGATTAAGTGAAAACATTAGAAACTGCTTTAGAAATGTTGCACGGCTCCTTCGCGACGTTCGGATCTTTCCGAAGCTATTTCGTGACGCTTGCACAGTTAAAAAAAAAAAAGGCAAACATTAGTACGTACTCGAAAATATAGCACCATCTAATCGTTATTCTTCAATCGTGCAGATTGCGGACTTGAACAGCCAGGTCAACGACCTCCGTGGTAAATTGTAAGTAACCCAGTAACGTATCGAAAGTTTTTTCGAAAATTCAATACCTGACCAAAGAATTCAGTAGAAAAGGGTGAAGTATCGAGGATCGCTTAAGCAAATGTGTTTGATTGAAAAATTGCAGCATGAAGCCGACCCTCAAGAAGGTCTCCAAGTACGAGAACAAATTTGCCAAGCTCCAGAAGAAGGCCGCCGAGTTCAACTTCCGTAACCAGCTGAAGCAGGTCAAGAAGAAGGAGTTCACCCTCGAGGAAGAGGACAAGGAGGTAACAAAGACCATTTTACGATAATATAGGAGCACGGGCTCGGAGCGAGGACGCTCTTGGTCCTTTTTGCTCGCCGAAGGAGCGAAGACGTGACGGGATGGGAGAACGAGACTTTGTTCTCGGTGAATTTTTGTTTTATGGCGACAGGACCCCCACGCCCTGTTCAACCAACTTTCAATTTTGTCCACGTCCCGATTTTCGTGTTGACCCTTTTGTTCGATCCACATTGGAAATTTGCTGTTGTCGACCCAAATGTGTTTTTTTTTGTTTTCATTAATATATATATATATATATTTTTTTAAATTTAACTCACGTGATTTTTTCTCATGTTTTCGTAATCCGTTATGTAATTACGGGATTCGCACGAGGATTTGCGAACAATTCGAAATTAGCTGCAGGTGGAAGAATCGTGTGAAGTCGAGAGACATTTTGAAAGTAAGAAAAAATGACGCGTTTCCTTTTACCTTTCGGAGTTCGTAATTCCTCGAGCGATCCAATTGCAATTGCCCGTAATCGTAGCATTAGTTCACTAGGCAATGTGTTTGTTGTTCTTCACAGCCCAAGAAGTCCGAGAAGGCAGAGTGGCAGACGAAGAAGTAGATTCCTTGAACACAGCGTGAAAGCACACAAAAAAAATTAATAAAACCATGAAAAAAAAGAAGGAAATATATTCGTAGACCATCCCAATGAATAAGTAAAAAAAAAACAAACGCGCACACACAACACACAGAAACACACGTGCGCGCGGGCGCGGTATGGTCTTTTTGAAAAAGTTGAACTATTTATTAAATTTTTGATTGTTTTTTTTTTCTTCAATTTCTTTTATCATTACGCGTCGATTGATCAACGAACTTTCTGGCCGTTTTTCGCGATTGTTGTCGCTACCCAACGGAATCGCCCGGTCGCTATCTTTATTGATTAACATATATATTATCCCGCTAACGAAGAGAAATATCATTATACCTAAAAGGAAACTGTGTCTAGCAATAAAATTGTACCGTTGCGTCAGCATGCCTCGTCTCTAAATGGCAACCGTGCGAATATCGAGTAACTTTTGTAAACATGGAAAACAAAGGCAACGTTTCGCAAATAGGAGAATTTGCCGTGAAGTAAAATTTAAAAGAGAGATCAATAATCCCAAGCGTCTAACGAATTCCAGCATCCTTCTTTTTTCCTTGCTTCGGCTCGGTACCACGATGCGAATCAGGCATTCAGGCATGGACCCACACACCACTTTTTAATCGTCCAATTTTTTCAGCATTTTATCATGCGACCTGACGGGACGTCCTTAACCTGCAATCGTAATTTAACTATTGCAGGAGTCATTTTTTTGTGTTTGTGTCTTCCTGTGTCGTCCACAATATTTTTTTCAGTCGAGAGGATTTTATATTAAAAAAAAAAAGGGAGAGCGGACAAGCTGGAAGATCCTTCCGCTAATAATTTATTTTAATTATTACTTTATTCTCCCTCTCTGTCATTTTCTTTTTCTGGCTTTGTCCTACTTTTGTAAATATTCGACACTACCCGCCACTCTGACGTTTTACACGCTCATCGGCAGAGTCTCACTGGTTTTTGGACGTCACGAGCACGTGGCACGGCGAGAGGCCACGTGGCTCAGAAAAAGAAAAAGAGAAGAAAGATAACAGCCGTAACTCCTGTTCGCTAGTCGCGTATCACGTATCGTGTTCAATTTTTTCGTGGAAGCTGCCGTCTCGATCCTTAATCATTACTTGTTACGATGAAATGCCCACATGTCATAGCCGATAGTATCTCATTGAATAATTCCAACGACAGGAAAAATGAGGATAATATCAATAATAATGGTACTCTGAGTAATAAGCTCGGTATATTGAAATACTTGTCAGGATTATGTAATAGCGCGTCAATAATTTTGGGTAATGAAGTTTTGGCGGACAGAAGGCCGAAAGAAGGTGAGAATGGCTTGCAAAGTGTCTTATCTGTCTGGTTAAAAAGAAAAAGCAATAATCATAATAATGAACGATGATGACGATAATACGCGTACTTAATCGCGCCCTGTATCTATTCATCCACTCCATATTCTACTTTACCTCTACTCGTCATTGCACATGGGCACGCATAATAATCGCAAACGCGCTTCTTCCACTCACACACGCTCAACCGTCAAATACTTTTGCAGACTGTGCGCAATAATAATAATAGCAGCCAGCACAACGACAGGAAGAACAAAAACAATGAGTCCAATAAGGGCAATAACACTAGACGTAACGTTCGCGTGAGGATCTTCTATCAGCTCACTTTTGGACTCCTCTGCTGGAGCGCATTACCTGTCGGTTTCCGACTGTACACAGCACTGTTGTTCCTACACAGAGGGACATAGACATAGGGACGCGAAGCACGGCCGAGATCGAGCAGCCAATTTCCGCCCACAGTTATCTGCCTGACTGCGAGGGCATACAAATTCGACATGTCTTTGCGCTGTCGGTGGTTGTTGCAGCTGCGGTCGCAGCTGCAGCAAAAGTGCCCTCCCTCCCTCACTCGTACACTTCTCCTCAATCACTTTTCTCGTTCAAGCTTTCAGGCTCTTTAACGACTCTTCTTATTATTTGTATATGTTGTGTACCGTCTCATTTATGCCATTTATGTTCATTCGTTTTCCGAGACTGGCTAAAATAATAATTGTGCGTGGATCTTTCGATCGGTCCTGTCCGAGTGGCATTTCTTTATTTAATTCTTTCTTTCCTTTCTTCGACTTTAAATACGTCTACTCGATAACGGAGAATCTGCCGATTGCGCAACCGATCGAAAAGTTCGCGCATGCGCAAACGCGAGCCTTTCTCTCTAAATGACTAAATGCCTTTTAATTAATTCGTCCACGTCTCACGTTGACTAATCATATTGCTTTTGCGTTATGTTCGCAGAACGTCGCGAAAGAAAAGGTAAAGATTTCCGCAGGAATGAAAAGTTTATTAGACGAAAAACTAGAAATTGGGATAACACAGGAATGCGGAAGGAACTTGCAGATTGATTTTGCAGGCCGGCGATCGGTGTTGACTAACTTTATTATTGAATGCTGCTTAGCGAATGGCCAACTGGAATGCTCATATCGTATCTAGATTAATTGTAGCTGATGCCTTTGAATTGCGACGCCGCGACGAGGCCAGTCGTTAACCGACAGCACACCCATCGTGTGTGATCTTTCTCTTTGACTCCCGCTTTCTTATTAGGTCACCTCCGTATCCCTCGCACATTTTTACAGTTATATTTGTTTCATTTCTTTTTTTTTTCTTTAACCGACCTCTATAATCAAATTTCCGTTTACAGATTGCCGATCATTTTTGTACCGTCTCTGTTTCCTTTTTTTTCTACCACGACGCAAGAAATTTGTCAAATATATTTTCTCAGATGAACGAGACGAGGAGTGAACGTCCACGAGGTCAATTGGCGAACAACGGATGAAAATTTTCAGTCACGCGACAGAATTGATCCAAAGAATTTTGGAAAAACTTTACGACTTTTTGTTTGTCGTATACAGGCCTCCCCTCCCTCGCACCTAAATTCCGAAATTTCTACATTGTACTTTAGTTATTTTCCCATTTAGGCGTTTTCTGTGTTCTTTTTTCGTGAGCGTATTAACATGACGGACATACCAGCAGTGCCCAATACTTGCCACGTGATAGCTGACACCCGTCTTCTCGATTTTTCAGAAAAAGCCCGACTGGTCGAAGAAGGGAGAAGAAAAGAAGGTAAAGGAAGAGGAAGTTGAGGCATGAGTGACATCAACCGTACCGCCACCAACAACAACAAAAATCCGATAGACAACCAAAACAACAGCAAATACTTTCATCCGTGAATAACCGTCCGGCACAACATCCAAGACTATTCACTCCAGTCTCCTTTCTTTCAAAAATGGCCGCTTCCGGTGCGCGGAGTTGGAAGAGATCGTGACCACTTTACACTTTCTTGTTGCCTCACGTCTCCGTATGTTTTCAAGATGTCACCCCGATAATCGGACTCACTTTTCATTCTTTCCGCTCGTCCTTTCTTCCCTTCTGCCATCTTGCTATTCGAGAGATCAAAACTTTCCCGTTTGTCGCGCATGGACACTCTGCACCCTGGTGGAGCAGTCGGCGGGCGCGGACGACACTTTACCCTGTCGACGTCTCGTCCAAACCTTCAAAATGCCAGACACTTGCTCGCACGTCCAGAAATGCCCTCCGCCAGCCTCCTTTTGTCTTTGCTCGAGTTGCAGTTGATTGTACATCGCAAATCCGGTCTACCTCATCGTTTTGTCCACCACTCCCACCGCCACGTGGAGTACTGTTATGTATGTCTGAAAATATGTCCGTGTTGCAAGCGACGGAGTTAACAATGGGAAAGGATAATCAAGATTTACTGTAAATCAAAAATGTTGAATAATGAAAAATCTTTGTGTACATGTCGTCACCTCGTGTCCCCTGTTCATCCATTGTCCAAAGATCCTTGTATCGTAATAATGATAATATCTAGATGAAATAAAAAAGAGAGAATGTCCTTCGGGAGAATGAGCACGATCCAGACGATTAATCATATAAGTTCCATATTTATCCGGTTGGACTATTTGTTATTGTCGTTCCCATTGGCACGTTACCCACGAATGACTGTACCCACGTGAAATTACTGTCCATTGGAATTGAGCTGTGTGGTACTTACTTACTCGTGGTACGTTTTATCGTGATTTTGAAGAAAATTATTTATTACGATTTTGCATCCGTTATATGATTTTAAATGGCAGTTGATTTCGAGTCGACGTTATTGGGTTATCGACGGTAAGTACGTAATTCATGTTCTCGCTTGATAACAGTGCGAAGGTTTCTTTCGGCGAAGAGAAACCAACGAGTAAAGGTCCTATCGAAAAATTTCGGGAATATGTCCAAATAAGACTTTCCTCTTTGGCGTCATCCAAAAAAGAGATTCCTCTTTGTCCTTGCATATTATGAACGCCAAAAATCCTTTAGCTCTCACGATTTTGAGGTAAATCACAAGAGTATCCTTTTTTTTCTTGCTACCTTGTCCCAAGATGCGCGATCATGCTGATCCCGTAAAGTCAATCGTCGATACCCATCTGCATAGCTATAGTGCCAGCATAGCCGCAATATTCCTCGTGTGATTAGCGCATTATACCCCAAGTGCTAATTTGCGATAATCGAGCACGGAGCGAAGTCAACGTCACGAGAACGAGGCAGGAAATCAGCTTGTAAAACTGATCGTGCCGCAGGGAGAGATTTACGGTGCGACCTCTGTCGGTGCCCGCACGAACGAATATCCCGTTGATGCGTTCGGAGTGCAAACGGTGGGACCCCCCACTGGCCCCTCCGGCCAGTGTGCCGTGTGCCATGGAACACACGCCCATGTCGTGTTGCTCGTTCGCGACAGAGGTTGCACCGTAGTAATGTTCGTGGTGACCCCAATTCCAACGGCACTGCATTGATAATACGTTGGACGATGTGCTCGACGTGGTCGCTTGAGAATTCGCGCCGTCAAACACGATTATTTAGTCATTTCCCCGTTGTATTATCGACATTTAGTACCTAGTAGAAATTCCATAATAAAATTCGTGGGGCCTGGACCGAATCTGGACTCACTAAAACGAATTTCTACTAGGGGATTTCCAATTGCGTTAGATTAGGTTAGAACGAATTGAATGTTTTACGTAATTATCTGCATAGAGCATGTGTTCCAGGAGAACGCACGACAAAATTTTCTTTACGGTTAGGTTTTATATCGAAAGTGTGATTTGGCGAATATTGTTAATTCGCACTTAGGAAGGTGAGCAGCCAGCAGAGGGTGCACCTCCAGCCGAGGGTGCACCAGCACCACCGGCGGAAGGAGCAGCCGCAGCACCTGCGGACGGAACAGTACCGCCAACGGAAGGAGCACCTACAGCTGCCCCCGTAGAAGGCGCGCCCGCAGCGCCATCTGCAGGTGGGTTTTCAAAGTGAAAGCTTTCCTCCGGATCAACATAATATTTGGCGTTGACATTTTTTTTTAGAAAATGCACCTCCAGCAGACGGTGCACCTGCAGCTCCTCAACCAGAGGGTGCACCTGCGATACCTCCAACGGAGGGTGCGCCTGCAGCACCTCCGGCAGAAGGTGCACCAGCAGTGCCTCCGACGGAGGGCGCACCTGCAGGAGAGGGCGCAGCTGCAGCACCTTCCGCGGAGGGTGCACCTCCAGCAGTCCCGACAGAGGGTGCACCTGCAGCACCTACAGCGGAGGGAGCACCTCCAGCAGTCCCGACAGAGGGTGCACCTGCAGCACCTCCAGCGGATGGAGCGCCTCCGGCGGAAGGTGCACCTGCTGCACCTCCAGTAGAAGGTGCACCTCCAGTGGAAGGTGCACCTGCAGCAGCACCGGCTGAAGGCACGGCCGCAGTGCCTGCAGCAGAAGGTGCGCCAGCAGCGCCGCCAGCGGAAGGTAACGGAACTCATAACTATTGTTTACCCTCAAACGTACGGATACACATGTGAAGCACATGTGAAGCACTGTATATTTTAGGTACGCCTGCCGCACCTCCAGCCGAAGGCGCTACTCCAGCTCCACCGGCAGAAGGAGCTGCAGCCCCAGCGACACCAGCGGCACCAGCGGCACCGGCGGCACCAGCGGAAGGCGCAGCACCACCAGCCACAGAAGGGGCAGCAGCTCCCGCGCCAGCACCAGCACCGGCGCCAGCACCGGCGCCAGCACCGGCGGCCCCTGCAGAAGGAGCACCCCCAGCAGCAGATGCAGCTGCGCCGGCTGTTTCACCACCCGCAGCAGCAACGGCCGAAGGTGCATAATAAATCTCATAATTTTAAGATTAATTATCGTATATTACTACTACACAGGTAATATCTATATAGAGGCATATAGAGACACGCGAGTATTAAACTCTGATAGAAATTAAGGATTTCCAATCAACTCACGTTTAGTGGAAAATTTATTAAAATTCCCCATGGGTGCAGGTCCCTGTCATCGGTCACGTTTATTATCCTGGTCAAAGTTCTCATTGTAGTTACGACAACTGATTATTCACGTTTTATTACAGCGCCGGCGTCGTAATTCCTGTGAAATGGCTGGAGAAGGTGGCCTCTTCCGTTCACTTATATTCCGCTGGTTGACGTCGCAAGTACACACGTGTAGCTACACATGCAGAGCAGCAACGTACTCGTGGCCACTGAAACAAGAAGAAAAACAAGAAATGAACACTGCGAGCGCGAAATACATTTTTAATGAAAAGAGTGAGAGTCAAATTAAATGGAGAGACGGTTTTAGGAACGTATAGGTTTGTCGATAAATTTCTGGTTACATGCACGTTTCTACATACATATACTCGATTGGCCTCTGTTAATTAATCTTCGAGTTATTACGTAAAGGCCCTGCTACTACTGAAGCACTGATATTTCGTATTCGATGAAGCGAAGACGCTCCCTTGACCATCTTACAAAATATTTTCATTTTCAATAAACTTTGAAAAAACTAATGTATTTTCATCTACCTTATTTCTCCTTAAATCCGTAGCTTATTGTGCCTACGCAAAGACCGAAAAATTATTTAAACTCGGTGGACTTGCATCGTGATTACGAAAAATTAAGTATGAATTAACTAAAAGCCTTCAGGCAAAAGAACATTACACGAACTGTAAAGCCGCAGATGGATAATGTTCCTATCGACTTACGCGTCGTAACGTCCATGGTGAGAGCTAAATAAATTCTCCTATCTAAAATTTTCATTGAAAAATTAAATCTAAAATCGCGTTCATGACAAGTGATGATCAAGGCACATGTAATAATAATAACCATGCATGCCCACTATTACGCGCTGCGGTACGACGAAGTCGAATCTGAAGAAGAGCAAGGTGGGGCGAATCACACGTTGCACGCTTCGACTCTTCATACTTCGGCATCGCTTCTTGCCCGTCGCCCGATTCCGGCCGATCCAGCCCGATCTTGGCCGAACTTCGAACTTGGCTGGAGAACGAAGCGCGCGTTCCTTCCATTCAGAATTCCAGAGTGTAGCTCAGTGTCGGCCAGTGTCGGCTCGACGTTTGCCTTGAACGGATTGCCGTCTCGTGCGAATCCAGTGTGCATCGGTTCACGTGACAACGAAATAGAGAAATTGCGTCGTCGAAACAGCAATAGACACAACTATCTTAGTACGTAATAAACGAACGAATAGCATTAACGCATAAACGCGAGGGTGGCACCTTTTGACGTTGTACGGTGTGTGTTGATAGTTTCTTTTCTCACGCTAGAAGAGTATTCTTATCGTCGAAGCTCCGATTATATAAATGCTCGAGTTACAAAATACTGAGAACAGTAATTTTACGTGGTTACTCGTGGGGCACGTTACGTTACGCCTTTCTTTATTTGTGCTCTGAAAGCTCCATCTGGAATCGCCACTATCGACGTTACTTGGTAGTACTGGGCTCTGAACACCTATAGGCAGGCTGTCATTGCTCCTGGATTCTCGTCGCCTCGAAAGTGGCAGTTCGGTAAGACATAAATTGTATAATTAGAATTTTCGTTTGTACAATATCGATTTCATCTAATAAGAGAAAATAACTTAGACGCTGTGATTGCATGTACAATAAGGGGTCTTATATTCTTATTAACTATTTATAAACAATATAGAAACTTATAGTTTGGGCGTATGTGTCGTTTTCTTTCAAGTTTGCAATGGGGTCTTATCGCTGTTATCATCGTGGCATATCAACCAAATCGATACTGTCTAGGCCATGCCCCCCGTCTATCGTCAGGTAAACATCTATCCATCCAACTGGCATCCAAGTTTCTAGTTTATTGTCAACTGTGTATGTCTATCTAGGACTCACGCGTTCTTAGCCTCCTTTGTCACGGAGCAAAGTTTGCTTTTGCGTTAGTCACGCATCGCCATGCCGAGACGATTTCCATTCGCGTCGTCGTGGTAATACGAAAAATATACATGGCGTAGTTTTGCAATTATCGAGTTCTTATGCTTTACAACCAAGTCTTATTGTTCCGAAAAATGAGGTGACATAGATGAGCATTTTTTAATTTCAATGCGATGGAGCATTTCTGTTTAACTGTAAAGTCGTCGTCGATTCTGATGCCGGAACGTTTTTATGTGCATATATACGTATTATATATAATACGTACATATTACGTGTACGTACGGGTATCGCCCGTAGTATTACTAGAGTATCAGGAGCCCCATCGTGGGAAACAGGAGTATTAAAGCCTTTGCTCTTCAGGTGTGTCTCATAGCTCAGCGACACTGTCTCGCGCCTAGATTGCTGCGGAGAAAAGTAGAAGTGCGAAGTAGCAGCGTACAAACCGAGACGATGGTCTTAATAAGTGATAATAAAATAGTGGAAGGACTGATTACGAGGGGCACCTGAACCACCACACCGCAGAGTGATTAGGTACCTCCGTTATCTAGCCAATACATAAGAAAATACATATTTAAGAAAATACATTCCTTATACTTAAGAAAATACATATTTAAGGAGCGCTTATGGGAAATCCGTATAAATAAAAAGCACTATTTAGTAGCGGAAGGGTTCAAGATAAAATTAGCAATGCTCTGCTGCAGAAAAAGGGAAAAAATGCAGTGTTACTAAACGACGAATGTGAGTTTATATTATAATTTTGAGACGTGAGCGGCGAAGTATTACGATTCCCAATAGACGTGAAAACATTGAGATGCGCGCGCATGTAGGCAGGCGTGCGTCTGGCTTGCCTATACATAATATATGTATAATATAATATAACGAAGAATCGGTCGGAGAAGACGGTTGCGTGTTCACGAGGTTGGACAATTTCAAATGAAACGTCTGGGTCCTCTAAGATATTTCGTGCCGCTACGTAGACCGTACAACGTCGTGGCATTGAGCTGCTGCTGCTGCTGCTGCTGCTGCTGCGCAATAGTCCTATAATCCGAGTGAATGTACCTATGGATATTGCGGACGGAGGAGGTTGGTCGCAGCCCAACACGCGGCGGCTGGTCCTTCCCTCGTTCGTTAATGCCGTAACTTTTGACGACTCACCGTGGCCGCCCACGCCTGTCTCTCGCGTGCCTACGCACTGCGTGCTTCCTACGTACCTAACCTGTTTTGAACAAGTTCGTCCCTGCACATACTTGCACATCTGTTTTCACTCTTTTTCCTCTTTCTCCTTCCATTCTGTCTTGTCTTGTGCTAACTCTGTCGATCAAATGAAATGTTGGCGTACACATTCTTCCTGCGCGATTAATTAAAATGTCCCATGGCGGACGGTATCAGAATCCCGCTTTTATTGAAAGTTACACATACGTATATGTATACATATACGTAGGACGATCGAACGTTCACTCGTGCATGGCGGACAGCTTGGATACGTCCAACTAAATTGCATCTATGGATCTATGTAAGTCATACATCGATAGTCTCCTATGAGACGCGCGTAAATTTTATGTAAACGCGAATTCGATAATTTTGATGCGCACGCGGCAGTTCGTTTCTGTGGCCATTGCTGTGTGCCATTAACTCGGGAGCGGAACCCACTAGCCGTTAATTACCGGCAGGATAATTAATTGAACCCCAGGACCTGCCGATCCTTCTTTCAACGAACGTTTTTACTTTTTTGCTTCCCACCGATGGACTCTGCGAATTACGAGAGCGGCATGTACGCGTATCGTCGGATACGATTAACCCGCGTAGGTACCACTAGAGTCATTTGAGTTTGAATCGCGCGCACTTAATGTGCTTTCAATTTGCTTTCTCTGGAGGCCGATTTGCGCTCGTGCGAGGCTCCTTGGTTCTCGGCCGTGAAAACGCTCGTCGATAAAAAGAATTGGAAGAAGAGAAAACCAGCGGCAGTAAGTGGATCTATTTCGAACGAGACCGCCGACCCGAGCGCATTGCCAAAATAATCGCGCGATCGGAGGTGCCCTGGGATCGTGTGTGAGAGAATACGATTTTTATCGTGAGAATTCATAGGGGAACAAAAAAAAAAAGAAAAAACAAAATGTCACCTTTCCTAGAAATATAATGACTAGCCGCGCGCCGCGAAAACATTTACCGACATATAGCTACGTGTGGTTGGTGTGTACGTAACCTAAATCGCTGACCGTGTAACGGAGTCATGTGCACGGTGGGGTCTGGTAGAACCTGTGTGTAAGAGAGAGAGAGAGAGAGAGCCTAGAAGGATAATCTCCCAAGAGTAACCGCTACTCGAGTGACAAATGATGAAGAATATACTAAAATAAAAATATTACAATAGAATCAGACCGAATGTCGGCGGATGAATACAAATAATCTGAGGCTACGAGTGGATAAAACTGTGTAAAGAGTGAGTGTAGTATGACTATGAGTAAATTATGAGGAAGACAATGAAAGAGAGAGTACCTGAAAGGAGAAGCGCGAGAGAGTATTTTTTTTTCTTTTCACAAAACGAAGGTGCGTGCCTAAGGAAACGAATAAGAGCGTACAATTTATCCTATCAACTTGAATGAGATCTCGGTGACGTTGGGTGACGTTGGCTGACAATGAAACGTGGCTACACTATAAAAAGCACTATTTGAACACGCTTATCAAGAATTCGAGAGTGCTGCGCTCTAGCGTACAGTTGAATTAGGTGCGCATGAGAATCGTGCCATTGTAGCGACACCTTCACCCTATCAAGCCTCGATGCTAGATAAGGTAGAGTACACAAGTGCGAGACTTGATCATCCTCTCTCAGTGGCATCTGTCGCGTGGCTCAGAGATTTCTCTCTCTCTCTCTCTCTCTCTCTCTCTCTCTCTCTCTCTCTCTCTCTCTCTCTTTCTGTGTGTGTCCCCGGGGCTCGTTGGTATCTCTTATGGAGAATTTTATAGTGAACGCAGACGGCAAGGATAAATCCATTGGATTGCTGTCCAAGTAACGAAGGAGGTACGTGTATCTGTTTACGTACGTTGGTACATATAGCGTAATATACGGAGAATGGAAAAGTGATCTCGCTGTGCAAATAAGTGGCATAAATAAAGCGCCGTTTGAATGTCAATTAAGAAAGACCTTATCAAGCATCCCCGGAAGTCTGTAGGCACGACAAAGACTGCTTTCATCTGTCTCGCGTATATACGAAAGGAAGTATTTGAAATAAAAAAGATTGAACGGTTCCATCTTCATTATCCAAGAAAGTTAATGGAGCTGGAACGTCACAACGGAGAATACAAAAAAAAAAACCCATCGCCAAACGCAGAACCATTTGAGAGCCGATTGAGTGCCCTACTGCGAAATTTAAAGCACGTGCGGTTCTCATGAAAATCCGTGGCGGCGCTGCTGTCGACGAGTTACGTATAAATTCCGCGTGACTTATGAAAAAGTTCTCTCGCTCAAAGTATACTTCTCGATCAGCACTTTTAAGTTTGACTGGCGAATTTCTCTCCTCCCCCGTTACGCCTCTCGGAGAAGATCCGACCAGAAATCAATAAAATTTACTCGAACGTCTCGACCCAAGAAAAATGTCGCATCGTCCTTCCTACCTTGCGTGCACTGGACCTCCCTGCCTTTCTTTATTTCCTTTCGTCTTACCTCACAGCCCTGCGTCCTTTTCATTTTAGCTTCTTCACTTGTTTCCTATTCTTGCTCCTGATTTTTCATTCGTACCCGAATACGTGACGGCGCATAAGTCGTCTTGCGGAAAACACCAGCACGTGGCACAGTCTAGTACGGTGACGCGCCTATCCACGACTCCCGGCTACCCGGCTACTTCGCATGGGAAGATCCAGCCGAGTTCCTCGAGTCTGTCTCTTCCCGTGGGAACGGAATGGGCGCGGATCTTCGTGCTAAGCGAACGACGAATACACATCCTATGGATTTCTATTTCCTTGGGTATCTTCTGGCATTGCGCGTAGCCAAACATTCCAGTCCTCGCTGCTCACTGTGTTTACCGAACAAACGAAATTTCATCGCTCACCTCCCAGCGTCATTGCGCTCGATCTCTGTAGGCTCTCACGGCTTCTCCCCCTTTGCTCCTTCCACCCCTCCATTTATTCTTCACGCCCGCGGCATTCCGACAAACACTCCGTAAAATTATAAAAGGCGCGCGTAGTTACCGGTATGTCCCCGCTCAATTTATAGTCAAGTGTGTACGCTCAGGCCTCTACGTGACGTAGGTCATGGTCCTCAACTGGGACTCACTCAAGGAAATTCTCACGTAGATCGATTATCGGCAACTGGTGCTCTCACAGTCAGTCGAGAGGTAGCTCCTGTCTTCGCCCCTCGTCTTTTTCCTGCTACTATTCTTCCAATAATACGACTCGGCGAGTCTGACGTTCGGAAATAAGAGACACTTGCCGATTTCTGGAATCTTCCTGAATTATCTCACTTGCCTCCCAAAATATACTTTTGATTTATCTAATTGATTGACTTGCGCAAGCAGATGCTCCATACTGTGCAACGCTGATAAGCAAGGGTCTTCTGGGTCTATTCGGAAATCTTTAAGGAGGCACGTCTCATGTTCACGTTAATTGTAATCTCTACGCGTATAATCACATTGTGCATAGACTGTAGATACGAAACTGATTCTACGTAGCGTAATCCATCTCGCTCTGGCACCAGAAAGTCAATGGGTGGACACAAGGCATTGCGAGCGAGTAGGGATCCGCGCACCTTGAAAAAAGTTTACGTGATCGCTCATCGTTAAAAACTCTGCAGGGATCGGATCGGATGCTGGTCCACGGACTCGTTAAATATATCTGGAGGGCAGGATACGTAGGCCGCCGCGCCATTAATCCATTCTCATTGTCAGTCTTCCGTG